TTTTTTAGCCCATGTCTTATAGGTGATGGCAGAAATGAGCCTTTAGAAGGAACTGGACTCAGCAGAGGAAGATGGCTTGGTACCAGGTTTAGGGAAGTCAGCCCACACATAGCGGGCAGCATGGAAGATGCAGAATTCAAGGCTAGCATCACCAAAAGACACTGCATAAGGGAGCACAAGGATGAGTTTATAGTAATAGGTATTAATTAAGAAACCAAAACCCTAAGTTATTCCTCCATCTGGATTTCTCAGTGTGTCAACAGATCTTCAGCTGGTAAAAGTCACCATACCTCCATAGAAGTCAATGGCACTCAACTGATCTACACCAACTGCAGATCTATATATAGGTCTCAGACTGAGCTCTTTGGGGCAGGGACTAAGTCTGGATTCTGTACAGCTCCAAGACCATTGCTAACCAATGAATAATGTGAATTACATCAAGAGTGTTGCCATTTGTTAATATCTGAGAAACAAAACACGCCATCATACCAATCTCTCTTTCAGTAACCCAGCTCTTGTTGGCCTGATTGCTGCACTGTCATAGAATATCAGGGTTGGAAGGGACCCCCCACCAGTGTTTTCATTTGTCATGATTAAAGATCCCATAGCACTTTTCCCACAGTGGGGGTGTTAGCCACTATTTTCAGGGCAAATAGCAATTTATCTGATTTCAGTCTGCCTACCTAAATTGCTCTCATAGTTTTAACTTCACAGGGTATTGTCCATGTCCTCTTCTACACTGGTGTGAAGTGTTGTTGTAAGATCTTCAAACCAAGAACATATATATAGTTTGTACAGCATCCTATATTAGTCTCTTAAATTTGTAAAGTGCTTTAGGATCCTTCCGGGCGAAAAGTTCCTATATAAATATAGACTGTTATAATATTTTAAATATATATTAAATAAATATACCCTATTTGAATAAGCGACTGACCACTTGCTTTGTTACAGTAGGTGCAGCTCACAGCATTCTCAGCAGTCACCCACGGGAGGCATTTCCATTTCTGTCTGTTCATTTAAATCTATGCAGCATGTGAACCTGTCAAGCCACCTCTACTAGGCCAAAACCTAGGGGAATGAGTTATGTCTCCTACAAAACTTTGGGATCCCATTGCTCAGCATGATGCACTGAGTGCCACCAGGCCCACCACCCAAGGCGTTTTAAACGTGGCATATTCCCTGTCGCTATTAGAGCACTTCTCCCTTACCTCTCTCTGCACAAACTAGCCAAAAAAAACCCAAACAAACATAAAAAATAAAAAGAGAGAGGGAGAGAGAGGGGAAAGCCTTAAGGAGAGCAGTCAACTGTGATCAAGGTCACTTTTGTTGCTGTCTCATGGCTGAGATGTTCAGCCTAAAGGAAGCTGACGAATTCCCAAGGCTGTCAGTGGAGACTGCTGAATGAAGGGGATATTTAATAAAAAACTACATTCTTAGCTGCGTGTATGTGCCACACTTTCATACTGGTATGGGAAAGCAATCTCTGAGAGCCACAAACCCAGTCGCATGCATGTGCGTTATATGGTGATTATGCAGCAGAGGCCCTACCACTAAGTTTAAGGAAGTTTGTTCTACTAAAATCAAGATCTTGAGGAACAATTGGTTGCTTAATCCACTAAAAAAGGTCGATGAAGCGCCACTATTCTCTGCTAGTCATCCCCTATAAAGGATTTTTTAACAGAAAATAGTGTCATCTATTCAAACGCTGGATCAAAGGATCAGGAATTCTAGGAAATGCAGCTAAATACAAATGGTTTATATTTTCAGACAGCTGTTGGTTAGACTTCACCATGCTGTCAGTGCCTTCAATTGTAATCAGGATCACGCCTACATTCTGTGGGACTAAAATCCAAGTCATGCTGACATTTCTCACTCCTTGATTTTTATCCCCGATTACAGCTTTGCCAGCAGCGTAAATTTACAATGCTGTGATGAGGCCTTTTCATTATTCCTACCTCACTTCCCTGACCACAACACTGGTGTCAAATGAGATATATGGAACTAAAGTCCACTATTTCACTGACTGAGGCAACTGGACCCTTTAAATTATTTACATTTATATCAAGCACCAACAAAAATGCATCTCAGGTTTCTCCTAGTGGGTAAAATTTGTCTTTGTCAGCCGTGAGAGATTGAAAAATTTAACTGCTGTGAGAGAAAGATGAAGGGTTCTTTCAATCTGCACAGACATATATTCTTTACTGTCTGCTTCTGATTTTGAATCTATCGTGTTTTCGAAGTTGACCTTATATAGCACCTTTCGATATCAAAGCACTTCACAAATCAGGCATATAAAACACAGACACCCATGGGATGGAGGGCAACAATTAACCAATGCACAGCACAAGCATGACACTCAAGGGAAGAGGAATTTTGGCCATGGACAACAGACCAAAACTGCAATGCAACCTTTTATATCAGGGGTCCCCACATTTTTCATGGTAACGCCTCCCCTTACTTCTGTCTACACCCCCTCCCACAGGAGCTGGAGCTGGGAACGGGGCCACGTGGACAAGGGCAAGGGGGCCGAGGCTGGGGCTGCACCTGGGGGGAGGGGGAGGGCTGGGGCCGGGAACGGAGCCACGGCCAAGGCCGAGATGGGGGCAGGGTCAGGAACGGAGCTGTGGCCAGGGGTCGAGGCTGGGGCTGGGAGCAGAAGCCGTGGCTGGGCCTCGGTCAGGGGCCGAGGCTGGAGCAGGGCTGGGTGGCGCTCCTTCCCTGCCCCCCCATGGGAGCTATCTCAGGCCCCACTGTGCCCCCCCAAATGTTCCTCCATGGCCCCTTAGCCCCACACTTTGGGCACCTCTGCTTTATATCGTCGCAGAAAACCTTGGTTATAAAGTGACACCACCACCGCCAAAAGCCCCCCATACAGAATAAATTGAAAAGAACTCAGTTTATACAAGGGCTTATCGACACTTTAAAAGCAACCACATTTGGGAACCTAGTTAAATATTCATCACACAAAAGGGCAAAAGGAAAAACATTAGAAGAATTGGTAAATTTTAAACTAATAATAATTCTATCACAACTTCCTGCTGGGGAGAGGAAGGGAGAAAAAGAGCCACATGAGACAGATGCTAATCACGTTGCTTAATCCCGTTTTGGGACGCACTCAGATTCCATGGCGATGGGCACCGTGTAAGAAGCTGAACTGAACAGAACACTACACTGTAAGCCATCTCTGTAACGTCGATGGTGATCTATGATAAGTATTTCCCCTACAGTATATTCCGCCTACTAGCAATCCTGATACTAGCAACTGCCAGTTAATGGCAACATATTGCCGGGAACCAATCCCATCCCATTAACAGAATTCAATACTGACGATGGTATGCCACTTAACAGCACTCTTTCCCCTCCCCCTTTTGTTAAAGAAAGAAAGTCCCTACCTGCTGCAGGCAGGTTTCGGAGGCTGCAGCCAGGGAAGGAAGCACTGAGATATGCCTTCCCTGGCTGCAGCCCTGCAAACCTGCCTGCAGCCAGGCCACTACTCAGTCCATCCTGCAGCACAAGATGTAAGGAGCTGCGGGCCAGGAGGGCAGGCTGTGGGAAGGGCAGTAGTGGGAATGGGGGTTGCAGCTTGGATGTCAGAGCGGCGCGATACCTCTCCCTGTACTCTCCAAGCTACGTCCTGCTGGGGGACTGCAGGCAGGGAAGGAAGCACTGGGATGTGCGGAGCCCTGACCCCCAAAGAGTGAAAGAAGAGGTATGGTGCAGCCCCACATGTCTGCAGCCCCCGGTGTCTTCTAGAAAGTGCCAGCATCCACGGGCAGGTTTGCAGGGCTGCAGTCAGGGAAGGCATGGCCCAGAGCTTCCTTCCCTGACTGTAGCATCATCAACCTGCCACTGGATAATAGCAACTTTTTGCTGGCAACTGAGGAGCTG